GACGTGCATACACACACACACACACGGGTGATAGCTGTCTGCAAGCTGGCAACACCCTACTGGCCTGCCTGCCTGTCCACCCCCGCCTCCCTGCCAGGCAGCCAGCTTCTCCCAGACCTGTCCCAAGCCTAGCCGTGCTCTGACGCCTGAGGCTCAAACCCTTTGGCTACTGACTAGGTAGATGAGGTGGCTGTCCTGACTTCATTGACGCCCCGTTGCTGTGCCCTCTCAGGGATTTGGGGAGCGACCCATCACCCACCTCCATGCATTGCCCTTTTGGATGCTTTTAGTGTAGTCGAGGCAACAGTTACAGTGTCCAAGCCTCAGCTTTCTCTTCCGTGAAATGGGAGCATTGAACTACCTACCTAAGGCGCGTTCTTTTTCCAAAATCGAGGGAGACTCTGGCTCCATTGAGGGGACACGGGTATATATCCCCTGGGAGCCTGGGTAAGGAGGCGGGGGAGATAGATCATTACGTCAGCTCACTTGCCTTCGTCCTCCATCAGGGACACTGCCGTGGTGGGGATGGATGCTGAGTTTGGGACCCCAGTTTGCAAAATCCCCAAATGCCATCCCCTCCCCTGAGAGCAAGGCCCAGCTATGGACACTGACTTTTGCTATCACCGGCGTGGTAATGGCGGTGGGCATTTCCTCTCATTCTGTCCTGACCCGAGGCTGTGAACTGGAAGGCATTCTACTGCCCGCATTTTGCAGATGAAGAGTCTGTGAGTCTGTCAGAGAGGCCCCCTCCCTGTACCGGGCAGAACTGGAGTGCTCAGTGCCAGGCCTCTCAGAGCAGGCACAAGGAGGGTGTCCCTGGCTGCGTGCCCTGCCAGGGACCATGGAGAGGACATCTCCCAGGCTCAACCCTGTGGCTTCTCCCCAGCAGCCTCCCCAGAAGCTGCTCTCAGGGTCCCACATTCGCCCTCCTGGGTCGGCTCCACTGTGGGTGGGTGCAGCCAGGGCCAGAGGGGTGGCTCACCTGTGGGGCGGCAAGAGGGCTGAGAGCCCACTCATGGCCCAGGAGCAGCCTTGGGGGATGGCTTAGCCCTGGCCAGGCGCCTGTCTGGGCCTTGGCCTCCCATTCTGCTCCCCTCCCTGCCCCCACCCACTGGAGCAGGTCTAGGGCCAGCGGAAGTGTTCCCCCCACCCCCAACAGCTGAGTGGGATCTTTCCTGAAGGGCGCAGCCCACATCCGCGCTCCCTCAGCCCTCATCTGGGCCCCTCACCAGCCCCCTTTGTTTCTCCCACGCACCCAGGCAGGGGCCCCTAAGGATGAATCGCCCTCCTTTCTGGTGGCCCCAGGTAAACCAGGCCCCAGCCCCCTGCTTCTCAGGCCTCCCCTGACACAGTCTGCCATGTGACCTGGAAAGTGACAACTGTAAGGATTTCAGGACCCAGGAGCCTGAGTCCTGTTGACAGAGCTAGGCTGGGGAGTGAGGAAAGGAAATCCCTTTGGCTCTACTAAACCTGGCTGTGACCCGACAGCCTAGTTGGGTGGGGGTCTGTTTGCAGGGTAGGAAGGACCTGGGAGCCTCCCTGGTGGCCGGTCCCAGGGCAGGCCCCCGTCTTTTGTGATGCTTTGGTGGCTGGTTATTCCTCTGCTGTTTTTTGTGTTTTCCAAGATGGAGATGAAAAGTTCGGAGTCACGTAGCTCTCATGAAGCTTCAGACTAAACACACAGCTCATGGAGCTGGTGATAAGGAGGTGCTCTCTGACCCCCTATTGCAAAGGCAGGCTTCCCTGGGTGTCAGGGCTGCCTCTGGGAGAGAGAGGGGCCTTGTTTTCCACTTAACTCCCCTCCCAGGGGGAGGGTCCGGTGGCCTGGGGAGATAGAAGCAGGGGAGGTCTCTACACTCCCTGCCCAGCCCCCTGCCCAGCCCAGCACCCCCTAAGCAGAGCAGGGCAGAATGGAGTGGCAGGCGCCCAGATAAGACACTATATTGCCTGTGGCTGCCTGGCCAGCTCCACGTGGGTGGACACTCTCTGCTTCGCCGTATTTTCCAGCAGTTCATAGTCTTTCCTGTGGCCTCCACTAAGACTGAAGCTTATTTTTCTGCTGAGATTACCCGAGACTCACATCCCCATATGCCCAATGGGACGGACTTTGGCCCCTCTGCCTCCTAGGAAGGGCCCTGGAAGGAGGTGAGGGTCTGCCAGGAGATGCCATTGCTCTGGGGCAGAGGCTGCAGGCTCCCAGCTGACCACGTCCCCCTGTCCTCCCCACACTGACTGAGAGCAACCGTCTGCTGTGGAGCAGGACGACCCCAGCTCTGCCCTCGGTCTCAAGGCTGAGCCATGTGCTCCGAATCATGGACAACCTTGTCAACCAGCTCTTCCCAACCTTCTTTTTCCCCAGCTGAGGAAACTGATATGCTCAGGAAGGTGAAGTGACCTCCCCAAGGTCACACAGCCACAATAGGACTAGCTCTGGAAGTGGGTCCCTGGCCCCTGCCTTCCCCTAAAGGAGCAGCATCTTTGAGGGATCCCAGATCAACCCTAAAAGGTCCCATTCACAACCACCAGCACATCCGGGGCCAGGGATGTCCCTGATAACCCTCAGTCAACTGTCATCTAATCTGTCCGGAATTACTCAGCCTCCGTTCCCTGCGGGCGCCTCCATCCCTGTGTTTACTTGGTGTCCCCTGTGAGGACAGAGCCTCGCTTTGGTTGTAAAGGAGATAAGAGCCACCAGGAACAAGGCAGAGCAAGCCCCTGGGGCCCAGCTGTGCCGGAGGGGGGAACATCTGCTCCTCTAGTGGAATCACTGGAGAAGGTTCGGAGAGTCAGCGGGGAGGTGGGCCTTGGGGAGAGAGGGGGAGGTTATCTGGGTAGAAATGAGAAATGACATGGCCCTGCGTGGACCACGAAGCACAAAAGCCCAAGGCTGGGAACTGATATGAGGCTGCTCTGGCCCATCCTGGGTGGGCTGAACAGAGAGGGGGGCTCAGGCACATCGCTGCAGGCTCTGTGGCCAGGGAGAGGAGCTGGGGTAGGACATGAGGGTGCCAGGGACGGATTTTGAGCAGAGGGCTAAGGGGAAAGCCAACCCTCCTTGTGGGACACCAGAACTGCTTCTGCAAGTTCCCCAATATGGAGGAAGCACCCAGTCGGGCTGAGAGAGACCCAGAGGGCCTGGGAGCTGCCAGGATACACTCCACGGAGCTCCAAGGAACCGAGGCACACGTGCGCTAAGACTTTGAGCTGAGCTCGAGCCAAGACTCAGCAGAGAACCCCCAGCACACGGAGATTCCATTTCCCTGGGATTTCCCTCCAGCAGACAAGCTACGGGTCTAGGGGATCACAGGGGGTTCTCATCAGGAGTTCAGACGGGAGAGCTCAGATTGGGCTAGGAGCTTCCCTGGAGGAGGGGGTGTCTGCATAACCTGGGAAGTGCAATAGGGTCTGGGGAGCCAGGTCCAGGCCTCTGCCAGCCTGACCCAGTCTTCTTGCTCGTAGTGGTGCCCTTCCAGGAGGTTTGGGGCCGCAGCTACTGCCGTGTGCTGGAGAGGCTGGTGGACATTGTGGCCGAGTACCCCAGCGAGGTGGAGCACATGTTCAGCCCATCCTGCGTCTCCCTGCTGCGCTGCACCGGCTGCTGCGGCGATGAGAACCTGCACTGCATGCCGGTGGAGACGGTCAACGTCACCATGCAGGTAGGGAAGCCATCCTGCTCACACCCCGCCAGCCCCATAGTCATGCCCTGTTCCTCAAGCACAAGAAGGGACCCTCAAAAGGGCAGGAGGCAGGCCATAGTCCCAGGGCTGGAACCTGACTCCCAGGCTAGTGCTCTTACCACCAGCATGGGGCTGCTCCTCCCTGAGCCCTGTCCCCAAGACTCAGGATATCTAGTCAAGGCTGGAAAGGAATCTGCTCATATTAAGGAAGTCCTCATTCATACCAGGAGCGCATGGTGTCCCTGACCTCTGCAGGCACACGCATGCTCACTGATTTACTGAGCACTCACCGAGTGATCTCAGCCTTCCAGGGCTGCTCCAAACACTATCTCATTTAGTCCTTTGACTCAGGAGTCACCCCATTTCCCAGATGAGGAATTTGAGGTTTAGACATGTCATTGCACTTGCTCAGCAGGTGTAGAGCTGGCATTTGAACGCAGCCTCTCTGACTCCAGAACATGGGCCCCAGCCTACACCACTGCCATGGCGGTGGCCCTGGGGAGGAGAGACAGGCACCTTCTGCAATGCCCATGCAGGTGGGAGAGCTGTTCGCCCCTTGCTCCCAGCAGAAGAGGGCAGATAGTCCAGAGGCTGGTGGGAAAAGGAAGGCTGGCTCTCCTCCCAAGGAAAGAGCAGAGTGAGTGCCCACAGGCCACCCCCAACCCAGGTGTCCACCTCCTTCCCACAGCTCCTGAAGATCCGCTCCGGAGACCGGCCCTCCTACGTGGAGCTGACGTTCTCTCAGCACGTGCGCTGCGAGTGCAGGTGGGTCCTTGGGTGGGAGCAGGGACAGGCACCATGCACTTGGTGGCCTCAGCAAAGATGAGTCTGCGAGTGGGGGCTGCTGATGCCCAGCCCTGCTGCAGGCTGCACGTCCTTCCAGGCTGAGGAAGGCCAGGAAAACCAGGACTCGGGGGCAGCTGCTGTTCATTTTGTACCCACTAGCCAGCTTTGCCCGGGGAAGCTGAACCCAGCAGCTGGAGTACAGCTGCACAGATGCCACAGGGAAAAGGGAGTCCAGGGTCCCTCCCAGAGGAGCAGGGGCTCAGCGCATGTCATCCCCTGCTCCAGATGAGCAGCAGCTGCTACAGGCCCCTGGAAAAGGTTCGTAGAGGCCAAAACATTGCACATCTGGATTTGGTTCTGGGCCACTCTGCACGCCCATGGGAAGGGCAATCTGGGCTGAGAAGCAAACGCAGGACAAGCCCTGGTAGGAGGAAAGGGAGAGCAGAAAAAGCCACTGCAGGACCCTTAAAGCTGTAGTCCTCTGCCACCCTGCCCTCTTCCAGCCTGCAATGGCCTTGCTGCTTATGCCCAGAACATGTGCAGCAGGAGGCCTGGCACTGCCAACCAGGTCCAGAGAGGAGAGAGGCCAAGATGTTGCTCCTGATGCTACTGGGCCATGGAGGCATCAACCTCGAGGTCCAGAGCCCGAGCCTGGACTGGGAGAAGCAGGAAGGCCCCCAAGAGCTGTGCACCTGCTGTGCCAAGCCCCAGGCCAAGCACAGGAACCCATCTTCCAATGTATTGCCTGCACCTATTGAGTGCCTACTGTATGCCAGGCACTGCCTTGGCCAGGTGGGATACAGCAGTGAGCGAGATGCGCAAGGGCTCGGAACCACACTAGGGAGTAGGCACCACCGTCACCCCCATGGCAGGGATGAGGGAACCAATGCTCCTTACGGTTACGTGCTTTGTCACAGTGGGCAAATGTGGGACGAGGGGTGTGGGCTCTGGCCTGTCCCACCCCTCAGCCTGCTCTTCCCCATGCCTCCTCTCATGGCTACTACCATGTTCTCCAGTAGCCAGGGGCTAGGGCTCTGGCTGCCCCTTTCAGACCTGAGCCCAAGCTCCAGGCCCTCTTCACTCTGCGAGTGTCGGGGCCCTGCCAGTCAGAGCTCTGCGCTGAATGAATCCTCCTGGGCACGGTGCTGGACGGCGACCTTGCACTTTCTGCATCGCCTTTGCCCTCACGGTCACCCTTTTGGGTCAAGCAGATTCGAGGAGTCTGAGTTCCAGGAGTGTCTCTGATTTGCACAATATGGAGAGCTATGACCAGGCAGCCCCAAGAGGCTCCTGTACTCTGCCTGGCCCCCCAAGGAAGGAGCCAGCCTACTACTGTTCCTGGGGAGGACTGAGACCTTGTGCCCTTCCACTAGGCTGGGTGGCAGGGACACCTTTCTTCTCACTACCGAGCCAACAGCCATGGCCTGGGGAGGCAGAGCGCTTCTCCTCCCCCCCTGCCCTTGCCAGGATGCGGCCAGGGCCTTGTTCCCTGATGGGGGCAACCTTAGCTGGCAGCAGCCATTCCCATCCTCTTGCCCATCACTGTCTTTGAGGAAACTCCCAGAATGCCCTGTGGAAGGAAGGGAAGAAAGTGACCGAGAAAGTGGGCAGCAGAAATGGACTCGGAAGACCCAGGAGTTGAAGCCCATAGCCTGAGGAATGTGGAAGGGCAGAAGGGCCCTGGGGACTGTACTTCTGGAAGGGTCGCTGGAGCCTGGTGTGAGAAGCCAAGCTCAGAGGCCTCTGGCCATCGCTCCCTCGCCAGCCTCACACTGCCCCCTAGTGGTCGATGGTCAACTGCAGGACGGGAGTTGGGGATGTCTGAGGGCAGGTGAGGGGGTGATGGAGAGCCCCACTTAACTGATTCTCCTCTGCCCCGTCTCTCTCTGTTTCCTCAGGCCCCTGCGGGAGAAGATGAAGCCAGAAAGGTAAGTGGCCTGGCTGGGCTGGGGGCTCGTCTCAGGCCTGCCAACCCCTGTCCTAGCATGGAGGTCCCCAAGCACCCTGTCCTGACGCTTTTGGCTTATTGCAGGAGGAGACCCAAGGGCAGGGGGAAGAGGAAGAGAGAGAAGCAGAGACCCACAGACTGCCACCTGTGAGTGCGAGGGGGGCCCAGGGATGGCAAGGGGGCTGGGCCCATGGGAGCCCCGCCCCGCCCTGCCAGCAGGGGTTAGTGGTCGGCTGGGAAAGGCAAGGTGCAGGGCAGTCTTGGCGCCCAGGACAGGAAGCATCAGGGGACCGCGATTCTTGTCCAGGCTTAGCCCTAAGTCTCATAAAGCCTGGAACAAATCGTCTCGCCTTTTGAGCCTAATTTTTCTCTGCCTAGAAAGAGGGGGCAGGGAGTCCGTCAAGCATTCATTCATTCTACAAACATTTACCCAGCACTTACTGTGCGCCAGGTACGTCAATGAACCAAAAAACAAGACTCCTGTGCTTATAGTGCTGACGTTGTAGGGACAGAAACTGACAGCCAAGAAGTGACGTAGGGCTGCTTCCTAGTAGCCAGGGAATATGCAGCCCTCCCCCACCAACCACCAGAGGCTCCCTAGCCAGAGTTCCTCCTGGGGGGTCCCCTTGCTGCTTCTTCGCCTTGCCTCTCGCTGTTACCTGCCCACCTTGGTTTCATACCTGGGGAAAGCAGGGGGAACGTCAGGCCGGAGTATGGCTGGAAGAGGAGGATTAAAGAGGGAAAATTGGACTCTGTCAAGAGCAGGCTAGATGATGGTATGGTGGTTAAGGTGGCTGGATTCCCAAGTGGCCAGCATAAGGTTCAAGTCCTGGATCCTGCAGCTTCAGAAACACACCAGGTGCATGCACATGTGTCCCCCAAATCCTGAAAGGTGGGAGAGATGGAGGAAAAGGGATTGAAGCGTGACCATGGAGGCAGGTGGAAAACAGGCAGGGTTGGGACAAGCAGATGGCATGATTATGCCACTGGACTCCCATGTAGTTGACCACAGTTTGAGTCCCAGACACGGTGACTTAAAACTCAAACCAGGTGCTTGCACATGTGTGCCCAAAATTCCAAGAGTGGCCATCTTCCCTAGGGGCTGATTTTTCATTTCCTGCCTCTCTGTGTCTCTCTGTTTCTCCGACGAGTGCACACACCCTATAGCAAAAACCTCTCTAAAAAAAAAAGAAAGAAAGAAAGAAAAGAAAACACGTAGGGCATATGTGCATGCGTGCCCAAAATGCCAAGAGGAGGATGGAGGAGAAGGTCGTGACGTGGTCGTATCCCCTAGGGGTAATTTCTCACTTTCCCTCTCTCTCTCTAGAGAGTGTACATGCCCTATAGCCAAAAAAAAAAAAAAAACCTAACTAAATAAATAAAATAAATTTGTCCACATGTACAGTAAATCAGTCACACCGTGGGTCTCCTCCAGGGCCCAAGTCTCCTTAGGCTCTGACATTCCAGATCTTTCCTTACTATGGCAGTGGAGCTGACCCGGGGAATGACCCCACACGTCTGCTCCCTGTGAGCAGAGATTTCAGAGCCCTGCTCCATCCCCTCAAGGCTGCAGTCCTCCCAGTCTCTCCCCTGGACCTGCTAAGCGATTTGGGGAAGAAGCTGGCGAGGAAGTCAGTTCAGGGCTGCAGCACCAGCTGGGCAGCCTCAGATAGAAAGTGTCCCGTCACTCCATTCTGAGGGCTGGAGTCTTCAAATGTTACATTAGGGAATTTCGGAAAGAATTTCAAAGTCCCTTTGCTCCCTCACACATTTGTATTTATTTATTTTAGAGGTTTTTGCATTAGGGCACATGTACTCACACTCATCCAAGAGAAAGAGACAGAGACAGTGAGAGGGAAAGTGAGAAATCACGCCCCGGGGGGATGGCCACGCCACAATCCCATCTCCAAGCCCCCACCCCCTGATCATGGGCACACACACTGTGATTTTTTTTGTTGTTTTTTTGGAGAGGCTTTTGCTATAGAGCCGGCGCTCTCACCAAGAAAGCGCTATAGAGCGGGTGTGCTCACCAGAAAGACAGAGAGAGACAGAGAGACAGAAAGCAAGAAATCGCCCTCCAGAGGAATGGCCACACCACAATCCCTTCTCCATTCTCCTCTTGGGATCTTGGGCACGCACGCACACACGTCCGGTGTGAGTTTAAGCCACTGGGACCAGGACTCGAACTATGGTCAACTACATGGGAGTCTAGTGTCATAGCCATTACGCTAACTGCTGGTCCCCTGGTGTGATTTTTTTTAAGCCACCGGGTCCAGGACTCAAACCACAGTCAGCCACGTGGGAGTCCAACAACATAACCACTATGCCATCTACTGGCCCCCTTGCACATTTTTAAATTGCCGTTAAACTTTTGGGGCCAGCAGGTGGTGTGGTGGTTAAGGGCACTGGACTCCCACATGGGCAACCACAGTCCTGGACCTGGTGGCTTGCTTCCTCACTTTCTCTCTCTCTCTCTCTCTCTTTCACTTGTCCCTCACTGGTAAAATTAAAATAAACAAAGATAAATAATTTTTTAAAGTTCCTTTAAAAAATAAGCTTTTTAAAGTTTATGTTTTCCTTTCATGAGTGAGAGAGACAGAGACAGCACCCCCAATGCAGCTCTAGCCAGCCCTGGATCATGGGTACATGTATACCCAGTGTTCTCAGGGAGGCCTCTGGACACGAATCCGGAGCCCTCCCATGTGGGTCAGCCACACAGAGTGTCAGATTTTAATGTTAATGTTTAATGTGCCACCATCTAATGTTAATATTTTTTCATCGTAATTATAAATAGTAGTTATAAAGGATATAATTCCTGGGGGACCAGCAGTTAGCATAATGGCTATGTTGCTGGACTCCCACATAGTTGACTGCGGTTTGAGTCCCGGACCCGGGGGCTTAAACTCACGCTGGGCGCGTGTGCATGCGTGCCCAAGATCCCAAGGGGAGAATGGAGGAGAAGGGATTGCAGCGTGGCCATCCCCTCTGGGGGTGATTTCTTGCTTTCTATCTCTCTGTCTCTCTCTGTCTGGCTGGCAAGCGCACACACCCTATAGCAAAAACCTCTCCCCCCCCCAAAAAAAAAAAAAAGAATATAATTCTTGGCATATTAGAGATGTAAGACAACTGCAAAAAGTTCATGGAAATGGACTTAGACTACAAGTTGATTTGGGTGCACAAAATTTTGCAATCCATGGTTAATTTTTCCGTAATATGCATGGCCCATGAAGACTGACCCCTGGCCCCATGTATCTGCCATGAAAGTAGCATGAGTTTCAATTATTTTAAACTTCCTGTGAGCATCACACTAAATTAAATTTTCCCCTGGAATAAATTATCAAAATAATTATTAGTTATACCATTTGGTCAAAGCAACACAAGTACATTATATTTTAATAAATATTAAACATAAAAGTGTAATAAATCTTATTGGGATACATCTTAATGCAAGGGATGCAGCTACTTCTTTTCAGTTAGCAGACGAATCCATTAAATGAACTGCCTTCCTGGCAGACCCAGGCAGGATTCAGCATGAATTCCATAGCTGGTACATAAATAAGTAAGTGAGGCTGGATGCCATCAATTACTGGACTCTTCCCCAAAACCTCAAGGTGACCTGTTAACAATGACTTCTGATGACATCTGGGCTCACAATTCAGTTACATTGTTTTCAATTTTATTTTTTGAGAGGTTTTTGCTATAGGGTGCATGTGCTCACTGGAGAGACAGAGAGACACAGAGAGACAGAAAGCAAGAAATCACCCGCTGTGGGAGATGGCCACGCCACAATCCCTTCTCCATTCTCCTCTTGGGATTCTGGGCACACATGCAGACATGCCTGGCATGAGTTTCGAGTCACCAGGTCCGGGACTCAAACTGCTGTAGGCTACATGGGAGACTAGCACCTTAACCACTACACCACCTGCTGGCCCTACTTGTCAACTTTTTTGAAAGACTTGGAACCCTATGGATTTGTAAAAAGCTTGGTTACCCAGTCATCGGCCATGGGTTCTCTGTCAACACACACCCGTATCTCAAACTGGCTTTTGTTCCGTGCCCCCGGAATACTTCAACTTGTGGCAAAGCACTTAACAGGACTTGGAATGGACAGTGTGCGCTCCCTCCTTTCTAAAGGCAGAAGGGCAGCGTGGATGGAAAAGCAGACCTCAGACCCTGTCTCACTCAGACAAGTTTAAGGCAGTGCATATGGGGATGAAAAGGGACTTTTTTCAACTTTTGTTTATTTATTTATTAGTTTGCTATAGGGCACATGCACTCTGCAGAGAGAGACAAGGAGGGGATGAACAAGCCCCGCAGGGGCAATGGGATGCTGAAATCCCTTCTCTTCCATTCTCCTCTGGGGATTTTGGGTACACACACACACACACACACACACGTGTGCCTGGCAAGTTTTTCAGGCCAATGGATTCAGGACTCAAACTGAGCTGTTGGCCGTGTGGGTTCCAGCCTTTTTACATCCATGCCACCTCCTGGCTCTGAATTTTTTTTTTTTCTTCAGTTTTTACAAGAGATACAGAGAGAGAAAAAAGAGAGAAAGTAAGAAAGCACTCTCCACCCCCACCACCACAGGAAGGATGACCACACTGCAATCCCTTCTCCTCCATTCTCCTCTTGGGATTTTGGGCATGCATGCACACGTGCTCAGCTTGATTTTCAAGCTGCCGGATCCAGGACTCAAACTGCACAGTTGGCCAATGTGGGATCCAGCTGCCCCAACCTCTGTACCACCTGCTAGGCCTGAAAATTTATTTTTAAAAAAACATCCATCCTCAGTCTTCATCTAGATCCGTGCACACGTACATCCTAGCTTCCCTGTGAGAAGACCGCTGGCTTAGGGTAACTAGAGGCGTTAGCGCATGTAGCAGGACCGTTCACATGTGACTCTCTGACTAGCTGTGTGACCTTGAGCAAGTTTCTTTACCTCTCTGGGCCTCAGTTTTCTCATCGGTGGTAGCATGGGGAAACAAGACAGAGAAACGAGACAATGCCTAGTACAGGGCTGGCACCCGGGTAAGAGCTTTGTGGAGGGCAGCTTGTAGCTCTGGTTGACTTGGTCAGGCAGGGACCCAGGAGTGCTGCGTCCTCCCCACACTCCCTGTCCAAGCTTCCCTTCTGGGTCTGCCCCCCCATAGGAGGGGACCCCGCCCTCCACAGTGTGCTGACCTCTCGCCCCCACCTGTGTTTGGTCTCGGCAGGTGCGACGATGCTGCTCCCCGGAGGTAACCAGCCCTTGGAGGAGACCCCGCGCCCAGCCGTGTATTTATTACCGTCGCGCTCACAGTTACCTCCCTGCCGGTTCCTGCCCTCTATTTATTAGCCAGCTCTACCCCTGCTGAAGGACGTGCTCCCTCCGAGACGAGGGGCAGGGAGGGACAGGCCCTCAGGAATTCAGTGCCTTAAACTGAAGCAAGAGAAAGAAGCCAGCCACAGACCCATGGAGCCTCAACTTGGGAAGAAGCAGGACTTGTGGCCTTGCAAAGGGAAACCAGACAAGCCCCAGATTCCCCTGGGGTCTACAGAGTACTGAAGAGGGGAAGAGGGGGACCCACCACCTGTTCCTGGGCCTTGGGCTCTGCACAGACAAGCAGCCCTTGCTGGGAGCTCTTGGCCAAGGTAGGGGTACAGGAGCCTACACTGGTGGCCGTGGCCCTGGGTGGGTGGGACAGCAGGCAGCAGGTGGAGGGGATCTGGCCACCTCCCCCTCTTCCTGGAAGCAGCGTCTCACCCTGGAATTCAGACCAGCTCTGGAGTACAGCGGTTGCCCGGGGGCTTTGCCCTTCCTGGGCCCCTGTTGTCTCACCTCACATTTTGCCATCTGCTTGTGCTGGGACTGTTTCTTCCAGCCAAGACACCACCATCCTGGCCCCTATCAGGAGCCGGTAAGAGCGAGCCCTGGGCTAAAGACGAAGCAGCCCAGCCAGATGTGATGAAGTCACCGGGAAGGACCCTGTGTGTCCTAGCCTGATGGCTCTGATAAAGGGGAGCAGATTCCCCAAGGACTGCCCCTGCAGGGGCATCTGACTGCCAAGCCAGATCCTCTTGAATAAAGTACTCTAGTCTGGAAAGAGCTTATCCAGTGCTCTGTCTGTCGGAACAGGGGGCACAGCAGAAAACCGAAGCGGGCCAGATAAGGGGGTGATGCGGTCCTGGGAAGAGCACCACGCCTCCTCAGAGCCTCAGGTTTCTCATCGTAACAAACTGCTCGGCCTATAAGAGCAGGCCACGGTTCCTAGTGATGTGCTAGATTCCCACCGGCCTCTGAGGAAACAGTTCCATGGAGCTGAAAAGGGCACTGACATGGGAGTCTGGGGCCCAGTCTTGGTCTCTAATTCACCAAGTGACACTGGGTCTCTATCGCTAGCCTGGAGGCTTAGAGACCTGGCCTCTCTGGTTTTGACCTGTTCTAGGGGGACCCAGGCTTAGTCCCACTGGCCTGGAGGATCGAGAATGGCTGTTACCACACAGGCTACTCCAAGGCCACCTTGGGCCTACTCAGACCTCCTGCAGCACCTGGGCCCACCCCCTCCCCTAACACCGTTCCCACGATGGGGTCTTGGCCCCAAAGCCCAGAGAGGCCTGGCCACCCTAGCTACCTCTGAACACCATCAAGTTCAAGAGCACAGACCCTTTCTCCTCCCCCGGGCCTGCCCCACAGCTAGCCCGCGACCCAGCCCTCTGACCCTGGGTGAGGCCCACAGAGGAGACATCCTGGCCTGGGATCTGGGGGTCTGACCGCCACGTCTCTAGCCTGCCCCCCACCAGCCACTGACCAGTTTTCTTCCTTTTACTTCCAGCTCCCTCTGCCTTCCTCCTTAACACCTTGACATGACATTCTTCTCATTTATATTTTTGCCCAAGCCACTTACTGTCCGACTCTAGTCTACTTCTGACCTGCAAGGTGCATGCATGTCTTTTTATGACATGTATCCTGGGGAAAAGAGGGTTCCCCATTCTCTACCCAGCTCCACTTGCTTATATGGGGCTGCTCAGGAAAAGCCCTCAGGGACCAGGGGGTCTGCCTGGGCATTGGAGGGTGTCCAGCCAAGTGGGGTACCTTGCTGAGGCAGCTCCTTGGCAGTTGGTTCACTGAGGCCTGGGCCCCTGGAGGACGCTCTGGCCAGCATGTACTTCTGGCTGGTGATCACAGAGAGGGCGTGGGTCAGCCCCGGGGGACGCGTCCTGCAGAAGCCACGCTTTCTCTCCTGCTTCTCACGATTTGCCTGCAGCTGTTCTGAGCAGTGGCCTTTGACCCACTGAAAGCTGAGAAGCGCACCCTTCCCCTTGGCCGGGTTTCAATCTCGGTCTGAGAACCCCAACCCAGTCCTGTAGCATCTCTAAGGCTTGCAGCTTCGTGAGGTGACCCACGTGGAGGTCAGTCTCCTCACTGAAGACACGAGCCCATGGAGAGACAGAACCAGGGGAGCTGCCAGAGGCCAGAGCAGAAGTCCACACCCACAGCCAGGGGCTCACAGAGGAGCTTAGGAAAGGAACATCTGGTTCCTCTGACCATACTCTGTGAGGCCCCACCTCCATCACTTGTAAGCACCAACGATGGGGTGGGGGACAGAACACAGATGGCCCCAGACAGCCGCAAATGTGTACGAGAGGAGAGTGCGGGGTCTTCCTGCTGCTTGACTCAGTGACTGGACTCATGAGAGAAGACACCTCGGGGCTGGACTCGGTTGTTAGGCCGGAGAAATTCTGCAACACCCAAACATCACCCAGCCCCCTCCCCCCACCTCAGTCTCTATACGCAGAAGGCCAGGGAGGGGAAAGGAAGCAGGGGGACAGGGTCATAGCGTCCTGGGGTGCTGGCCCCTCTCCTCCTCCCTCTCTGGAGTTGGATTTGCTGTTCAGATTAGCTCATATGCTATCTGAATTGGGCTGGGGAAATGCAGACCTGAAAAGCCACAGGGAGAGGGGACACCTTTTGGAGCACCAGGCCAGAGTTTCCCATGAGTCACGTGGACACGGCGGACGGTAAATGCCCTATTGCTTCACCTGTCTTCTTCCAAGAGAGAGGCCGCCAGCTGAGGAGGCCCTGCAGGCTGTGCGGTGTGCATTTGTGGAGTAGCTGGTGTAGGTTGACTTAGCTGGAAAGGACCTCCTACATCAGGGAGCAGTGACAAGTGGTGACCTTTGGATGCCTTTCATGCCAGGTGCGTTCATAGCCAGAAGAGAACTGGCCCCAGCAGAAAGACCTTCTCCCAATCTCTCCCTCCCAGTCAGTGTGAAAGAAGGGGGAGGAGGTCAAGGGAAGACACCCCCCCTAGTCCTTGGGCCAAGTCCAGGCCCTGCCTGGGGGAGGGACTAGCCTTAAATTGGATGAACCACCACGACAAGGCTGGGCCTTCAATAAATTAAAGTGACATAAACATTAGAAGTTCTGCCCATAATGCTGCTGAGGGACGGGGAAAGGAGATGCAGCACAGTTCAGCTAGAAGCAGTGATGGGAGGGGAAAGAATCAGTTCGCTTGTACCCTACCATCGGCTCAATGGTCAAGTTACGCAGCAAATACATTAATCAGAAAATGTCTTCTTGACAGAATGTGGTTCTGGCCTATTAGAGATGACCTTGAACTCTCTGATACGCTTCCACTCAAGAAGTGAGGTCTCGGGTCAGAGGCGGTGAGGAGGTTAAGCCACTGAATCCCACATAATGGTTTTGCTGTGGAGCCTCTGATGATGTGAGGGAAATTGGGGACTGAAAGGAGGGGTTTGGGGGAGCCTAATATAGAAGACAATAAAGCACGAGGCAGAGACTGAGCCCGGCGGAGTTCTAAATTCACTAGGGCTTCACAGAGATAAATAAGAAACTGTCTTCAATCTTTAAAAGTTAGTCAAAGGGCAGCAGGCGGCGCAGTGGCTAAGGGGCTGGACTCCCACATTGCCAACCAGTTTGAGTCCTGGACTTAGTGGCTTGAAACTCACACCGGGTGTGAGGGCATGCGTGCGTGTGCCCAAAATCCTGAGAGGAGAATGAAGAAGGGGCTGTGATGTAGCCATGCCCCTTGGGATGATGTCTCACTTTCTCTCTGTGTCTCTGTCTCTCCAGTGAGCACATGTGCCCTGTAGTAAAATCTCTCTTAAAGAGAGGGAAGGGGCATCAGATGGCATAGGGCATCGCTGGACATTGCTGGACTCCCATGTGGCCAACCGCAGTTAAAGTCCCAGAGCCAGTGGCTTTAAAATCATACCACGCACATGTGCATGCATGCCCAAGATCCCAGAAGGAGAGTGGAGGAGAAGGGATTGTGGAGTAGCCATCTCCCCTGCGGGAGATTAGTCAAAAGAAGGGCCAGCTGGTTGTGTGGAGGTTACGGCACTGGATCCCACATGGCTGACTGCACAGTTCAATTCTTGGACCTGGCGGCTTGAGAATCATGCTGGGCACATGTGTGTGCATGTCTGCCCAAAATCACGAGAGGAGATTGGAGAAAAAGGTATTGTGGCATGACCATCCCTCCCTCATCGGGGGTGGTGATTTCTCAACCTCTTCCCATCCCCCCATCTCTGGCAAGCACATGCCCCCTATAGCAAACGCCATATAGTCAACAGGGGTCCGGACCGGCTCAACTGCAATGTCAGTAGCCACATGGCCAACTGTGGGTTCAGATCTCTAGTTGACCTGGAACATGCCCCAAAATCCTGACAAGCCTGGGGGAAGGGGATTCCTGTATGACGAGACCCTCTAGAAGTTTCCTCTCTCTCTACCTCTCTCTCACATGTACTATCTATCATGAATAAAATTAACTTTAAAAAGTTAGTTGAAGAAGCCAGACAAACACAGATGATTATAATGGGAGGAAAGAGAGTCACTTAAGCAAACTTAAGCAAATGTGGATGAAGTGCTACTAGAGAAATCCGAGGTGACCTACATCTGAGGAATTCAGGCACAACTTTGTGAAGTTGGTGACATTTGAACTGTGACATGAAGAATAGGCAAAAAATGGGATGCGAAAGGGACCAGGGAAGCCTTCTAGGTGGAGGCAACCCAGTGATAAAGCCCAAAGGTGAGAAAACCCATAGCTGCTAAGGGCTCTCCAATGGCTGAAAGTACTGTGAAGAAGCATGCTGCTCTATGGAATACTATGAGCCATCACAAACAAGACCCCTTGGCACAAAGAGGTGTGGTATTATCTGTTGAAGATACTTCGCAGTTTTATCAACAGTACTAGGGAGAAATGTTCATCTGTTTAAATATCCATTTTCTAAGACAAATAATAATGTGATTGAATGTATGGAAGAAAATGAAATTTAAAAAATTAAATTAAAAAAACTAAAAAAAAAAAAAAGACCCTGATATTTGATAGAAAGTGGTTGAATCTGAAAGATTTATTGCTGAGTGAAGCAAGCTGGGCTATGAAAGAAAGATACTGTATATCTCCACTTTATACTATCTGGACTCTATGGTAGAGACAGAAAGATTGAAGGGCATAAAAGCTATGAAAATAATTACGGATGCTGGAGACAGTGTGGAAGGAGGGGGGGAGAGAAGGAAGTCAGGGAGGAAAAATGGAGAGGCGGGCCATTTGTGAGAGACAGACATGGTTTATTGCCTGTTGATGATAACGTGTATAGTGTTCTCAGCTGGACTGGTCTGAGGTGTATTTCCTGTTGGGTAGATTCTCTTTACAAGCCAAATGATGTATAGCCATCAATGTTTTTTAAAAAAATAAGAAGAATAATACAATTCTTTTTAAAAGAAGAAGAAGCTTGCTGACTGTTAGGGCTGGGGGATGGGGTAGGCTGGGCCTCTCTTGCCAGCAAGGGACTGAGGGCTTTGTTAGATAGTGGGAGACATTTTTTTTTTTTTTTTTTTTTTTTGAGAGAGAAAGATTTTTGCTATAGGGAGTGTGTACTTGCTGGGGAGAGAAAGAGACAAAGAGACAGCAAGAAGCAACCCCCCTCCCCAAGGGGGTGGCCACGCCAAGATCCCTTCTCCATTCTCCTCTGGAGGCATTGAAATGTATTTAGTTGCCAGTGCTGCACTTGTCAGAGAGAGACAGAGACAGAGGGAGAGAGAAAGTACTCCCCAATAGAGCATGGTCATGCTATGATCCCTTTTCCTCCACTTCTCCATCCTGGTAGGATTTTGCACCCCTCCACCGCTCCCCATGCTCCCTCTCCCTCCACACACACACATGCCCAGCAGCATGGTTTTCAAGCTGCCAGGGCTGGGATTCAAACCACCATCAGCTTTGTGAGACCCAGCTTCCTTTAAACACCACTGGCCTGGCATTGAATTTTTTAAAATACGAAAGTGACAAGAGTTTGGAATTCAAGCTGAAATAAAATTTACAAACAGTTCATTTCCACCTCCTCAATTTACAAATGAAGAATAGGAGGTCTAGGCTTGTCCAAAGCCCTGCAAGTCAACTGAGCCAGAAGTTTACAATTTCCCAGTAAGTGACTGAGATGGTCTGGCCCCGGAGCCTGGGCTCTCATCGGCCCCTCACCCCTCACCTCCTCCCTGATGGAGAAGTGGAGGACAGGACGCTGAGTCTGCAGGCAGCGTGAGAAGCAGACCAGACCATCTGCAGGGTGGGTGGGGGTGGGTCCACAAAGAGGACCCCTCTGCAAACCCTGGTGGAAAACCAGGGCTCCAGACAGGGTGGTGACAGGAGGAGCCCCAGGGCGGAGAGATGGCTGTCGGTCAGCACCGGAGCACCACAGCTGTTTTCCTAGGGAAGCCTGACCCTTCCCTTTCCTGAGGGAAGCCTGGCACACTCCTCCTCCCCTGACCTCGGCTGTAACTGAGGCAGAGGAGGCCCCACCTCAGAGGCTCCAGGCCAAAAAGATGTGGTGTTGTGTTTTTTGTCCCTGAGGTAACAGAACCACCAGGCAGGACAGACAGGCGAGGAGGAGGCTGAGGACTCCTGTACAGAGTTGGGCTCACTGAGAGTGTCACTAGGTGGGTGGCAGGGTGCAGCCAGCGAAGTGACCTCTCACAAAACCACTCTGGAGAATTGGATCCACCGGGAGGTCACTCCAAGCTCTGTCCCTGTTCTGACTCACAGTAGGCCACCTTCAGACTCCAAGTCTGTCCCTTCTTCTCTTTCCTCCAAAGCCCTGCCCCCGCCCACCCAGCCTGGGCCACCCAACACGGTAACAGGAGCTCCTGGGCCCACACAGCCCAGCCCAGCCCTGGGTGTTTACAGAGTGGGCTCTGAGGTTCAGACTGGAAGGGTGATCCCCTTCCCTCCTTAACTCTTTATCCCTTCAAAGCTCTCCGCCCTTGTGAAGTCTTCTCCCCAGCCAGCCAGGCTAGAAGGCAATCCTGAGAAATTCCAGCCCAGCCTCTGGGAGGGTCAGGGGGCTAACAGCTGGCCACAGCTGGTCACGGCTGCCACAGAGGGGCGGGAGCTGGGGTCTGATCAGAGGCCCCGCACAGGGTTCACTTGTGGTGCTGGGGTTGTAACCCGGCCAGGCCTATGAGGAGGAGGTCATTGTGCATTGGGCCCAGCCAGGAGCTGGGGGTGTACCCTGGAGCTGTCCTTCTGGATCAGCTGGAAATAAAACTTCACACCAGACCTGGAGCAGGAGGGGTTAGGACCCTGGTCCTAAATCCCGGAGGTTCTAGCTGCCTTTGCCACCCTTTAGAGACCAGCCCTGGCTGATGGAGATTAACTCCGGCAGTGGAGGCTGCACAGCAGCTGTTTTCACGAAGACCTTTCCCTTTTGTATGTGCAGGGTTATCTGCCATCCCTTCCCTTTTCCCTCAGAACCAAACATTCCTATCCTCTTAGGAAAAGACTATCTGGTGTGCATCGACAACAGCAAGTAACTCTTAGAACCTGTGGTAAGCCTGCTTTACATGGCGAGTAGATTCAGCTATCCTGCTTTTGAAGCCCCAGGCCTCTGAAATTACCCACTTGGCAACTGCCGCACTCCAATGACCAGCCAAAAATCAGTCAATGAAAGCTGACCCATCCCTCAACTCCGCACTTCCCCCCCAAAACCCAGGTGGGATTGTTTGCTTTGCTCATACTCTGTGCCTTCCAAGTACAGCTCTCCCTTGGTCAAGCAAACAATAAATTCTACCTCTTATTTCAGAGAGTGAGTGGTTTCATCTTCCTCCAGTACCTCCCCCAGAACCGTCCTTACTTCTAAAACCCAGAGAATGTGCAATACATTGTATTTGGCTTCAATACAGAATTGGCTTAAGCTGGGGCTAGAACCCCTGCCCTCCCCTTCTCCCTCTTTCTTACCATCCTTCTAGGTTCTAGCTCCATCCTGGGAAAGTGACTGTCTCCCCGTGGAGCATCTACAAAACAAATAAACCTCTCCTTTGATCGAGTGGATCATGTCCTTTGGCATTATTTTATTATGTTCCATTAAGTCAAAAGACCCCACCAACAGCACCAGAGATGAAGATAAGGAAGAAAGGGTGAGGTGAAGGAGACACCCGGCCACGTCAGCTTAACTTCTGATTCCAAAATGAGATTGTAATGTATTTATTATTTTATTTCCTTTTTCATTTTTTCCCGTTTTTAAATTTTTATGATTTATTATTTATATTCAATCATTGCACATCTCTACAGCATACAATATGACTTTTTAAAGTACACGTGGTATGCTAAAATCAAATCATACACACACATCGTTTTATTTTTGCTTTATGTTTATGTTTGTTGGATAGACAGAGAGGGCGAGGGAAAATGAGAAATCACCCCCTCAGAGGGGATAACCACGTCACAATCTTCTCTCGTCCACTCTCCTCTCAGGATTTTGGGCACTCATACAGACAAACCTAGTGTGTTTTTTAAGCCACCAGGTCCAGGATTCAAACTTTACAGTCGGCAATTGGGATCCAGCTGTCTTAACCAACATACCACTTGGCTGGCCCTATACATCACTTTCAATAGAAAACTTTATATTTTTTATGTGGTAAATGTTTCTTCTTTTTGCCCTTCCCACCACTCCCCTCCTTTACAATCTCTAGTATCTACACTTATCCTTTCTACGACTATATCTTCAAATCTTTCCATTTCTGCTATATAGGAGACATCCAGTCTGTATTCAGCAGAGATATACAGTGTTTGTCTTTCAAAGTCTGGGTTACTTAGCAATGAAATCTTTGACATTCATCCACTTCAAATCAAATGACGGGGTTTCATTGTCCTTTATGGCTAAATAGTACCCCATAGTGTATATTTGCCACAAGTTTTCTTTTTGGGGAAAAGGGAGATTTTTGCTATAGGGCACATGACCTTGCCAAAGAGAGAAAGAGAGAGAGAGAGAGAAAGGAATTACCCCCAACCCGGGAAGATGGCCACACTGCAACCTCTTCTCTTTCATTCTCCTCTTGGGATTTTGGGTACACATTCACACATACCTGGTGTGAATTTCAAACTGCCAGGATTCGAACCACATCTGGGGGTCCAGCACCTCAACCACTATGTGCCACAATTTTTTCAACCCAGTTCTTTTTTTTTTTTTTTTTTTTTGCTATAGGGCACGTGCGCTCACCAGACAGACAGAAAGAGACAGAGAGACAGAAAGCTAGAAATCACCCCCTAGAGGGGATGGTCACGCCACAATCCCTTCTCCTCCATTCTCCTCTCGGGATCTTGGGCACGCACGCACACATGCACAGCATGAGTTTAAGCCACCAGGTCCGGGACTTGAGCCACAGTCGACTACAAGGGAGTCCAGCGACATAGCCATTACGCTAACTGCTGGTCCCTCAACCCAGTTCTTGCACACTTAGGCTGATTTTTTGAATTATCTCATTTGTTGATTAATTATTATATTTTAATTCACCAGAGAGTCAGAGAGGAAAAGAGAGAAAGCAAGCCGTGGGATCCAGGCTCAAGCCGCCGTCAGACATATGGGAGTCCAGCGCCTTAACCACCACACCACCTGCTGGCTTCCGTTATTTAGCTCTCTAGTGCCCGAGTCTCTCACTAGACCGTGAACACCATGAAGACATGAGCAGAGCTGTCTAGCGCGGCAGCTCAACACCCAGCTCATGCACAGTAGACTCTCAGTGCGCAAACAGCTGAACAAATGAAGGAAGGATTAAGAAAGGTCTTAGAGGAGACCTGTGTGCTCCTCACTCGGCCACCTAGATTTGTGAGGCCGTCCCTCCCCTATCCTGGGTGACTATATACCTCCTCCACCCACCTCCACCCCTGGATCCGCTCAGCCACGCCTCAGCACGCTGAAGCGTAGACCTTGCGGGTTTAAGGCCTCGGCCATGATTGGTGGTTTATTCTAACCGCGGAGGATGAGCTCATCTGCAGCCAATGGCTGGGACCGCAGGCGGCTAAAGCGCTGCACCTGGCTGGAAGGCGGCTGCGGTGCACGCTCGCCCCCCTACCCGCTGGCGGGGGTGCAGGGGCGGTGGCGGCCGGGAGACGCCGGGCCTGGCGGACCGAGCTCCTGGCTCGGGTAGGTATAGTTTACCCGCTTCTTCCCGCGTCCTGCCCAGGCAAGGGGCCCTCTCCTTTATTGCCCGCCGGCCTTTCGCGGCCATTCTCCACCGGAGGATGCACCTAGTATACCAGCGGCTTGCGCCGGCTTCTGTGTCCACGCTGGCCCTGCGGCTCTGCACTGCAGGACCCGGCTCCGCAGGGTAGCCCTTGAAGCCCACCGGACTCGGGCAACCCAGTCAAGCCCTATCCGGCCTTGACGCCCCCCACACTGCCCCCGGGGTTGGTTGAGCGGGGTGTGGCTCCCCTCCACCTTCTGGCCACTTCCTGACCAGGCTTGAACTTCTCCGGTTTGGGGATGGCGGGTTATTCTCCCCTCTTCCCACCACCCATCCTGTTGTCTCCTCCTTCTCTGTCCAGAGGCTGGCACAGCCTGGGGGTGGGAGTTCCAGGTCCTGTCCCTCCCCATTGGCACCTTAGAGAGCAAAGGGTGGGCCAGGCTGCACTGAGGGGCAGAAGCAGCTCTGGGGCCTCCCACCCTGCTTCTTAAGCCCAGCCTCTGCTCTCATCCCTGTGGCCGTCTGTGTAATGCATTGCTCAGGGAGGAGCTGCTGCCAGCCCCTCAGAGGCCACATGTCATGCTGGCCTTCTCAGAGAGGGCCAGCAGGGCAGAGTCATCCCCTTCCTAGGGCTGGAGCACCCGCCCCTCCTGATCGAACTGCATCCCGAATGGCGCTCGGTCATTTTATCTGCCAACAGCCTTTAAGGCCCAGCTCTCTGCTGCCTGGGCGGTGGCCGTGGGCGTGGAGAGCCGTCCTACCTCACTGGCGGTACTGACTCTGGACCAGGAGACATAAGACAAAGCAGGGGCCATCTGTCCTGCCTGGGAAAAGGTGCCACTGGACTGAACCCAGAGGATCAGGGAGATTCCCATGGGAGGAGCAGGCAGGGTGGAGGGAACAGTGTCAGGAATGACCTTTGAGCCCAGAGTGGCCTCCACCTATTTGACGTATGGTAGACACCAGGTTTGCTCTGGAAGGCAGCTCTGCGAGGGCAGCTGTGGATCTCAGCGAGCCTCTCTGCAGTGCTCAGCACATGGTAGATGCTTAAGAAATTCTTGTCGAACTGAACTGAATGGAAGGAAAGATAGAGCTGGGTTACTAACCTGTCATCGCCACTCAGGGAGGATCTGGCGCATCGACTCTGATCCCTCCAGGGTATTGGTCTCCCTTTATTCAGTGGAGGAAACCAGGGTGCAGATAGGGCTGTGGCTCCCAGCTGTGTCCCCCCTCATGCATTTGCTCACTGCAGGTCCCAGCCCCAGGACACCATGAGCCTGGTGGCCTGCGAGTTCTTCCCCAGCCCCTGTGTGGAGCCTGAGCCCTGCTCGCGAGTGCGGTCCCAGGCCCGCGTGTACCTGGAGCAGATTCGCAACCGGGTGGCTACAGGGGCACCCGACATGACCAAGCGCGATTACCTGGTGGATGCAGCCACGCAGATCCGGCTGGCCCTGGAGCGCGATGTCAGTGAGGACTACGAGGCGGCCTTCAACCACTACCAGAATGGTGTGGACGTGCTGCTCCGCGGTGTACATGGTGAGGACCAGGGCTGGGCAGAGGCGGGGCTCGAGCAGGGCGGGCCAGTGCAGAGCTGGTCCTGTCATCCATCCACCGATTCTGGGTGAGCAGGGCCCAGTGCGGGGCTCTGCAGGGCCTTTGTGAAGGACAATGACAGCTAGCGCTCAGGAAGCCACTCCTACAGGCCGGGCACTGTACTGAAGGCTTCCCTTGTATTGACTCACTCACGCTTCACAGTTAGAGAGGCCCCGTCTGTTGTCACGTGTACTTCCAAGTGCAGGAACTAGCTCTGTTGTCCAGATGAGGGAACTGAGGCATGGGCAGTTAAAGAGCTTACCGAAGTCCACAGCTATCAGATGACAAAGCTAGGGTCTGAGCGGTCTGGGCTCCTGAGGCCGTGTACTCAGACACCTGTGCTGGCTGTCCCTGGGGCTGGGCGGGACTCCTGCCCTCCAGGAGCTTGCAGTTCAGTGGAGGAGGGGGACTGATGAGTTGATGAAGGATAACTTTAGTTCCAGGTGGGGAGAGCAGTGAGGGGGAAGTAAGGAGAGGGAAGAGGGAAACTGAGGCCAGACTGGGCCAGCGTAGGGCATTTTGAGATGTCAGAGCTCTAACATGAATGCTGAGGATCAGGAGGAGTGTTGGTCAGCTGAGGGCCAGGAGGCGTTCCAGGCAGAGAACACCAAGGGCCGGGAGGTGAGAGGGAGGCCTATCCGGCAGGGCGAAGTGGGGCTCAGGCCAGTCTGAGACCCCTGAGGGCCCGGGCGGCCAGGCTGGCAAAGGAGTTTGGCCATGACTCACCCTTCCTACCCTCCTGCTGGGGAGACCCCTCAAAGCCTGGGCTTCAGCTTGTCCAGAGACTTCTGTGCCCTCTGACCCTTATCCTCACTCTGGCTTCTTTCACACTGGGCACCAGAGATGGAAGTAACAGCACTCTCTAGAAGCTTCTGTCTTTTTTTTTTTTTTTTTTTTTTTTTTTTGGGGGGTTTTTTCTTTGGGGGGCG